TATGAATTGTTTAGAAGAGGGTAATAAGAGGCCCAGGAGGATATTAAAAAGATTGAAGAACACTTTAAGAAAATGTAACAAACCAAAACCTAAGGGGTGTACCTGGGTAAATAACAGGGCCTCTCACCCAACACAGGGGCCAAAAGGAATAGGACAAGACACCTTGAAAACCTGGGCACCAAAGAGCTAATTTTATCTGAGGTGAAGGCTCTTTCTAAGTCCTGCCTTATAAGGTTAAATTGTCCTTAGATTTTTGTTTTGTTGGATTTCTGTTCCCTTCAGACTAGAAGGAAACCACTGGAGTTCAATGTCTTAGATCTAAGTACCACAGCTATTGAAGGGAAACTGAGTCGCATACAGGGGAAGACTGAAGAAGCCGCTTCAGTTGGTGTTCAAACTGGGAAGCAGCTACTACAATTTCATCAATGGTTTAGATGGAAATCACAGTCCAGCTGGTGACATCTAAGTTAGTTGTTCAGTTTATAATTAAATATAACGAATACCATCAATCTAACATCCCTGAGAACACCACAAGCTCTCTATGAGTCAGTAAAGCTGCTCTCATCGCTTATTGCATCTATAACCATCACACGCACTCAGCGCAACTGTAAAGCCATAAGCCTACTGGCTTAGACTGAGGGGATCATAAACTGCAAAGCACTTCAGAGCTTTTGACAAAACAGATTATCATTTCTAAACCCCATAAGCAGAAACAGGTAGACTGTCTCAGTTCTCAGGGTCAAATAGCTTCCAGTGCCGAGATTTACACAGCTCGTTACCAACAAGATGGGCAGATGCAAACTACTTCCTCGTGACCCATCACATAACCTTCACTAGATCATCACTGTAATATTTACAAAGTTCATAAGCATTATATCAGTGAATTATGGCTTCATGCCACTTTCTCTAAGATTGAATGTCTCCTGGAGGGATGGGTCTTTGATTTTCAAGCTCCAGATGTAGCCCTTACATTCCAGCACAGCAGCCTCTTGGGGATTTATGGGCACTTCACGAGTGTTTAATGAGGCTTACACTGTAAGCGATCTAAACAGCTCTTGTTCACGGAATCCTGAAGCACATCCAGTAAAGCCGATGGAGCCTGAGACACCTTGAGAGAAATACTGAGTGAATAAAAATAATCAGCCTGCCCTTTCCCTCTGTCCCAGCTTTGCTGGTGAATACAAGGCACACGTATACACAGAATAAACAGTCCCTGTTGTCTTTTGGTTTCCTCAGTCTCACAGTGCATTCAGGTCGGGCAGTCAAAAGTCACTGATATGTATCTGTAAGTTTTTAAACATATAGATTAACTTTATTATCTTTCAATTTTTTATCTAAAAATCTGATTTTCAAGAAAAAAAAAGTAGAGTGTAATGAAGACATGAAAGCAACATTTTAAGATGGTATTTAATAGTATTATCTAATGACATTCTGAAAGGCAAAAGTCTCACTCTTGGAAAGTATTTAAGTGCTTAAATGTCTTTGAGCACCTGGACGCCCCCAAAAGGGTTTATATTTGCAAAGGTAGCTATTAGGGTATTGTATTTTAATAAATAGTGTTTCAAAGTCAGATGAGTTAGTTATACATACACGCAGCCTTGAATCTGATGTATGTGCCATCTGGTACCTAACAGACATAATATTCTCAAATATTTTGAACAAGGTATTCCTAAAATTAACAAATAGAATTAAACTCTTATCTAGTTTCTTCAGGAAGTTCTCTGCTTTAAAAATCAGATATCCACAAGCTCCTGCAAAAGGAAATGAGGCATGAAGGAAAGAAACTTGTGTGTGATGCTCTCATTTACAACTGAGAGGAGCAGTAGCTTTCTCACTTTCAAGGATCCATGCTGTTACAGGTGCTTATTCAGATATACTCTACATTTAATATAAACCTTCATGAGATAAAGATGAATTTCATTTTCACAAACATTTGTATGTACAGCATGTGCCTCTGCAAATTTTTACAATCTAAACCAGAATATTTTGGAGTCTCATTCTCCCTTCACAGCAGGAATGGTTCTGCTGTTTAGCAGATCTTTTTCAAGCTTAAATCTACAAATGTAATTTATCTACAAAGCCTCTTTTATATCAAACGACTTTTTTGAGCTGTAAATGCTTGAAGAGTGCTGCTGCTGATTGCTGTACCCTTCTTATATTACCCTTTGCTGTTAGTGAAGTTGGGATCATGCTAACAAGGAACAACTACCCTGGAAAGAGGCAGGAGGCTGCAGACTCACTGGAGAAAGCACCGTTTTGTACTTCTGCTTCTTCCTAAACGTTACCAGCCAGCCACAGCCAGAGTCAGGCTCCTGGGATAGGAAACCCTTTGGCAGGACCCACTATGGTTGTTCTTTGGAGCAAGGTACAAAGCTAGTTTTAACCCGTCACTCCTGAAGGCATTTAACTTCCTCACATTTTTATTTATCTGGGTTTTAGTTCTTCAGACTAATTCAGAAGAGAAAAACAGTTTTGCTACCCTCCTCTTTTCTTTCTAATTTCTCCATTTTATGTGTTTGCAAATTTGTTTCTCTAAAGAAAATAATTGCTATGATATTTACGACTGTGTAGCCATGTCAATGGCACCGGCACCAAGAGCTTTGACTTTCCTGCTCCGTGCTGTACTGTGCAGTACAGATTAGGAGGCAAAATCATTCAGAAATTTGTCTCGTAGCATTCCTTTTGTCAGTAAATACTGAACACAGTGCTAACAAGTACTTATGGCTTTGTTCCCATTACTTGACATGGTAATAAATACTTCACATTGGAGTGACTTCCAGCCTTTCTGAGTATAGGTAGGCAGCAACAATTCAGCACTCTTACTTAAAAGATGAAATTAAGCTGTCAGAAATATTATCTCTGTGCCAAAAGTTACATAGAAGCTCACTGACAGCAATCCTCGTTGTTGCTTTTCTCACTTGCCCTGTGCCAATGGGATTTTGCCTTCATTTTTGTACTTCAAATTAAATAGCTGTCAAGTTTAACTTACTTGTAGAAACTAGTGTGGACAAATTAGTTCCTACCGATGTGCTAGTTATCTTGAGATTAATGGGAAATCCAGAGCTACCAGTCAGAGAGGTAAGTAGTCTGAAAGGGAGAGAAATACAATCCAGTAAAATAACAAAGCAGCCTCAACTTTTGGATCTTGTGACCCACGCTTGAGAAAACAATAAATAGGCTGCTGCAACGGCCAAGGGAGGAGAGAAGCAGTGGTTCTGTGGTATTAACGAACCGAGGAACTGTAAACAGAGATGCCTGTTCTTGACGGACCAGAAATTTGAGGCAACACTAATCTAAATTTAGAGGCAATCTCTAAATTTTGAGATTTCCTAAAATACTACCATAATACAGATTTTTTTCTCCCAGTGGAATCTAACATTACAGATTTAGCTAACAACTATTAAGTAACAATCGTGTTTGGGGATGCAGAAGAAACCCTCCCCCTTCCCAAGCTCTTTCTGCTCAACACACCTCAGAGTTATGCAGAAAAAGAGGGAATACCCAATTTTCACTTTGGGTGAAAAGTTCTGGGTTGTCAAAAGAAACAGAAATAAGTCTCTGGTACGTGTTGACATCAGAGGGGTCACACAGTCCTTCCTCAGATGCCGTGCCCAGCAGGAGACAGCCTTCCCAAGTGGGGAGGGCTCTGAGAGTTGAGTTCAGCCCAGTTTGGGCACTTCGCGGTCCTTCTCTTGGTTGAGAAGTCAGAGAATCACTCTATTGTACGTATTGTGTACACAGGCCTGACCTTTTACTTTTTTATGTATTACGCCCAGTACTATTTAAGTGGTTATTTACACCATGCTGTCCTGCCAGAACAAACTTTCCCATCTACATTCCAAACAAAAAGATCAGCACGCCAGCATCGCTTCAAACTAATGTTTCTTTGAAAAGGCTTTCTCAGGGGAAAGGGCTGTGTAAATACCTGGTTTGCCACTTCCCCATTTTGACTAGTACTCAGAAGAGGTGCTGTGTCTGCCTGCCACCACCTGCTGGAACTCCACCTTGCAATTACCGGTAGCTTCATTCTTCTTTTGGTTCCCCAAATTGAGGCATGCTAAAGCAATTTGGATTTTTAAGTCATCAGAACTATCTCAAAATGATCTCTCTTCACATTAGGATAAAAATCTAGGCACTATATTGCATTGTGCAAACCCACATTGTCCAAGAAAGACTGAAAGAGCTGCTCTGGGCAAAATGAACACTGTCCACCTTCTCTGCAAAAAGTGCCAGGCTTTTGAGGGGAAAAAACAGAGTACAGTGCTAGGTCAGGGAAACAAGAAGATGACTGGATCTTCCTAACTCTGTGGAGGAACAAACAGTAAGGACTTCAGCTGAGACCGAACTTACTCTATTTGCTTTTCAGTCCTGTGCTTTACTAGAAATTTCTTTTTGGTCTGAGTGAGGCTGTAGCAGTCAATGGCCCCAGAAGAGGATGACCAGTTTTAAACATCAGTCATTTGGCCCCAGCCTATTACAGACCATGTGCTGACTGGTCCTGAGCTAGGGAACAGCATGATCTCAACAACCTCAGAATGACTCATTGCACTTGAAAATATGCTCCCATGAATTTTCAGACATATGGTGAGAAGCACCAACTGGAAGGCCTTTCGGCCCAGTAGGAGTCATGTTTTACTTCAGCAATATCCTTATTTAAAAACACTTATTTCAGTTTATTTCAGCAACAGACACATAATGCCACTGCGATACAAATTAATATATGCCCAATAGAAGTCCTATAACTAACACCAAAAAAGTGAAGAAAGCATGCAGCTAGAAAACTCCGAAGCCCTGTTTTCCTGCTCCCACACTGTACACAGGTAACATTTTTTGTGTATGCTTTTTTAGAACATTCACTACAGTGAGGCGGAATTTTGGAGGGTAGCAGAAGCATATTTGTGTAGTCTTACATACCGTAAGACAGCAGCAATGCAAAAAATGACAAGTAAATGATGAAGTAGCACAGAAATAGAGACTGCAGCCACTGTCCCAATCCTTACCTTTCAGGGTTGCCTTCTTAAGTACCTTCATGGCATAAAGCTGACCTGCATCAGATCCTTTGATCTTCCTCACTAGAAACACCTGCAAAAAGCAGACGTCTTGTGTAGATGAGTACTGAATTTCCAGTTACAAGCCTTGCTGCATTTGATAGAGGAACAGATTCAGGAATTCTAATGAAAACTATTAGCTGAAAGTACTTTGTATCTATTTCACCTGCAATTGGTTGAGCTAGCTCTGGAAAGCTTCATTTTTAAGCCTTTACTCACAAAGAAAATATGTTCAACATTATTGATTAACTTACACATTCAATTAAAGATGGGTGAATAGTCATAATCAGTGTGCGCACATTTCTTCATACTCTGACCAGCTTTACATGAAAAAAGTTATGTCTCATTTGTGCTTAGGAATGTGCAGTGTCTTAAAATTATTGCCATCAATTAAATGCAGGAGAAAAAGAATTTGGTTTAATTGATGCTGTAAGTCATGAATGGTGACTAGCCTAAGATGTAACTGAAGCAAAAAGTTCATACAGCTGAAAATCTGGTTGTGCATACTTAAAAAGTAGGACTATTTTGATTAACAAATAGGTTGTTATAATAAAGACAGTTTTCTCTGTTATAGTTATTTGTGTTACATCTTCTGACAATGTAAATTTGTCATTGAAATAAAATAAAATTGTAGCTAAAATTCTGATCTTTTTTGTTTTACTCCATGCAACTAGTTCTTATGTGCCCCTGAGTGCACCTGAGCACTGGAGGGGTAGTGAACAAAGGAATCGGTAATTTAGCTTGGTCTTTATAAGACACTCAGTGTTTTAATATTTGAAAATAAAATAAAGAAATCTTTTAGCCGATTCCTAGGACTCACTCTGTCTGCCGAGGTCAGAAATACTAGACAACAGCGTCTCTCTTTTATTTCAGCACTTTTGTTACTGGACAGAAGCAGGAAGTAAAGCCAAATGCAAAAAGAAATATAAGGCCATATACATAGCGTATACTTATAACGATATAAATTATCAAAGGCTAGCTGAAATTACGTAACTAATGAATGTCTAGTTGGATTACAAAAATCTGTGGCAATTATTTTATTCCTTGCCTGTTCAGGAACCATGCAGCTTGCTTAACTGCCTCCACCCAAAATATAAAAAGCCAAAAAAAGAACGGAGGAAGTCTGTTTCCAGCACATTATTTGCAAGTTGAAAGACTCTTCCTCCTGCAAAAACTAGTATCTGTAAACAGATTATGATTTTCTGAAACACCCTTTGAGGAAAGGTTTGTGGGGAGAGAGGACAACTTTTAACAATCAGCTAGAGAAGCTGAAAAGAAAAAAAGAAAAGGGTAAATTCTCCCTGAACACCTTAACCAGGGCTCTTACATCTGTACAGCATCACAGCTACAGCACTTCTACAATACAATCTGATACATTTTTGGTGAGACTTTCCTTCTCAAGATGTTTCCTGTGCATATGAGATATGCACAGTTCCTCAGCTGAGCTGCCCTAACTAGCTGAGCTTGGGCTCATGTTGCTTGTTCCCATCTCCTGTTTCCTAGTTCGATGAACATACAAATACCTCCGGTACTCACAACTGTAGGAACAAATGATGAAATCTGGCTGCAACAGGAACACATAAGACTTTCTGAAGTGTTTTTCATTAACATTCATGATAAATTAAGCTCAGCTGCTCCAGCATTAACAGGAAGTCAATTCATTTACAAGTTCAGCTAGTCAGAGAAACGTTGGGATATTTTGCTATCCAGCCCAAGTAAAAGATTTAATTTTTGCATTACATTGAAAGGGAGGAGAAAGTCAAAAGCAAGCTTGCCAAAACACTAGATTTTCAGCTGTATTATTATTCTGTAAAAATGGTTATGAAATCTTCATCCAAAAAACAAACCCCCAAACCCTTAAGATAATGATTTTAAGCTGTACTGCACATACAACAGCACAGCCTGCTGCATCTGCAGAAATATTAGGCTGTAGTTCTAGAAATATCTTATCTGCCGTGTAATCTTGCAAAGCTTGTAATACCCATGTTGCTGTAATAAGCAAAACTATCAATTTACATTACTAGTCAATAGACAGCTGTTCCCTGTAGCATGGGATCGGGCACTTGTCTGCATTCCCTCTGAAACAGATGAGTCAAGAACACTCTGTGCTGTTTCAGAGGACATCAAAATAATCATCAAACCAAAAAGGAAACAGAACAAATGAAAATGCATTGTATTGCAAAATAATGCCGTCCTTCTGATTATTCTTAAAGGTAAAGTCACATTGTTCTTGAAGCCACCAAGGGGTCCTGGAGTGCTTACTTGACTGGTTATATTAGCTATACTATATTAGCTTGCCAGAATAGCACAGGCACGTGGCTGAGCATGACTTTCAAATTTCTGGTTTGATGTGCATGCAAACACCTCAGGTTATTAACACCTGAACTAGCAAAACTCCCTTAGCTGAAGCAATGGGTATATCACTCAAATCCCAACCTAGAAAGCTAAGCAAGTGCTGTGACTTTCAAGAGTGTTGAGAGCACTCTCTTTGACACCAAAGACATCTTCTCTAATCTTGCAAGAAATTATTTAGGCCTCAGGTGAACAACTTGAAAACCAAGCAGTTTGCGTCCCCAGAGACTTATGGATTTGAATCATTCGCTCAAATACCAAGGTGATGAAAATTTAGGTGGTTGGGGACTGCATAAGAAACACAGAGCAGACTTCCCTCCCCTGTGTCTTTGCTGCTCTAGGGAGTTTACTGACCTGTTTCACATAAGGTATGGAAAGTGATTTGTAATCACACCCAGCTCCAAACAGGTACGATGTCCACACTCACACTCTGATCCCCCAGTGGAACGTGTCCCAGAAATCAGATCTCCTTTTGGGACGTGGTGGCAGAGACTAGGCATTTTGCTTATAAAATGCCTAAAGTTAGAAGGCCAACTCAGACAGTTAATAATGAAATACATCAGTACAATCTAAGATAGCCAGTGAATAATTTCTAAACTCTTTACTGCCTGAATCTGAAAACTGGCCATTCTGCCTCTGTTACTTTTGCAAAGGAGATTTTCTTCTCTTGTTATTCTCCTTCTTGTATTGAGTCATACAGTAAATCTGATTTTGAGTTGTTTGACCTTGCACATTTCTTTAATATTTAAAACTCAAATATCATTACTGTGCTCTCAAGAAATTCTTTAGATCAAAACTTGGTAGTGAATGCTAAGTTTCCTGACATCTCTCATCTCAGGGAACTTCTAACAGACTTGCTTATCAATATAATTCTAGAATAGTCAGAAAGTTGATAAATATTCTCAATATAGCTTCTTTCAGGAATAAAACTGAAGGCCCTGATTCATCGTCAGGGTGCTCAGCTTTGTGCTGTGTGCCTCAGTAACTTTTAGGTATAATTTAGTTCTTCAAGTTAGCCAGAACGATCACCATTGAATTGAAGGATGGGAAATATTTTCTCAAAACTCCACAAAATAATATATTTAAAATGATAAGGACTTTCATGCCTGGTTTAAATTAGGCTCGTTGTTCCACAGGTTTCAAAGTCTTATTTATTTAAACCATGGAAAAAGTTTAAGACTGAATTGACTCCTCCCTCTTTCCTCTCCGTCTTTCCTTCCCACTCTCATTTCCAACTGACACATCCTGCTGAAGAAGAATTGTCTTTGGGATTAAGAAAAGCCTTGAACTTAAGATAAAAAAGTTGTTTCTCCACAAATTAGCTTGTGGTCATACAGGTAGGTTTTTCTGCCCCCATGCTCTCAAGCACAACGATTGCTCTGTTTAGCACTGGGGTTTGACTCCAGGATCCTCTCAGCAAAGCGTACAGGCCTCCGAGTGTGAGCTAAAGAGCAGCCTGGGACTTTGAAACGCGCTCGAGATCCCATTTGCCCTCAGTGGGAATTGGACAGCCAACTTCTTCAAGCCTTTGAATGTTCCTATTTACACCCTCCAACTAAGCAGCAGTGGCACACTCACCTCCCTGGTGGGTAGGTCAGAAAGAGGGCGGGGAGGTCTAATTTTATAAACAGTGATGCTTACTAATGCTCACTTGTGCTCATTAGTCCAGGTCCAGAGCCATAAGCACTGTTTCCTAAACTGGTTTATATACAGGAATCCAGCTAAAAGACAAAAGTATTATTAAAATGAAGGTAGAAGGAGTTTGGGCTTGCTTATCTGCCTTTACAATATAATTTATATAGGGACAACGTTACCAGTGTAAATGAACTCAAAGGACATGACATTTTCAATATTGCTCTAGGCGACTAGATAGCATTAAAAATTACCTTTCCATATGAACCTTGTCCTAACACTTTCAGCAGCTCAAACTGAGAAGGATCTGCTTTTTCAAAACCTTCCTTCACATGATGACTGATATCTATTTCCTTCACGATACCTTCTTCCTGCAAAGGAAACAACAAAAAACAAAATCCCCAAATCAGAGCTGTTATCCTAAGGAAACATATTGTTTATTAAAATCTCATCTTCTATGTATGAAGAAGAATGAAAATTATATTGTTTATTAAAATCTCATCTTCTATGATGCTACAATCATGTATGAAATTTTGAAAATAGAAACAAATGCTTGTCCAAATATTCCACGTGCTTGTTACTGGCTGGGGAGGGTAATGTCAGGACATCCAAGCCTGCTGCTTCTGTTTATTGAGCCTTAAGTTATGACTAGGTAAAGATAGAATATGCAAGCTGAAACACCGAAATACACTGCAGAGCTTGGTGTGCCCATCGCAGACCTTGCTAGCAGAGTGGCATGTGCTCAAATCTGCACTACAGAGGCTCCAGCACACTTCCCTCCACATACTTTCTCATTCTCCCTCAAAGCATCATTTAAATCCATCTTAAAAAGCTCCCCCAGTCTTAAGCAGCAATTCTTCTTATAAGTAGGCAATGAAGAAAAGGCATTACTAAAAGTGGCTCTCCCTATTTACCTCGAAGAATGAAAAATTACTACCAGTAACCTTCTAAATAGAAAACAAATCAATGATTTAGATGTGAAAATGGGGTGGAGGTGGAAGGAAGAATGACACACACTTCTTTGCTTGCAGGAATTAGCTTTAAACACTTTGGATTTCCCAGGTTCTTTTGTTAAAATATTTCCATTACACATTCTTCAAAGACACCAGTTGAACTAGGACTTTTATCTTGCAAGCTGCGACAGACGGCATTTGGTTTAGTTGTTTGGTTTACGTTATTATGGTATGTTCTTCTAAAAAGAGAGCGACCGGGTCACGTGAGACCCAGAGGGACTACGTAGAGTTTGCAGCAACCCAGAAAGTCATTGGGCTGAAAAGAAACCTGGAAGAAAGGACCTGCTCTTCAAGGACACAGTAGCGAGGGAAGATAATATTTACATGGCTTTTTATTTCTGTAGTGTTTTGTACACAGAAATTTGAGCTTTTTTTCTATTCAAACTATTTGTTCTAACTTCTCTACAACTAAAATGTGGATTTTGAGTACAAAACCTTTTTGTTTCATCTCCCAGGACTAAGGGAATTGCTTACTTAAGAATAGGTTTGAATATTTTTGCACCCAACAGAAATAATTGGAATCTCATAAACATTATTTTTAAATGGAATTTTGCTGCAATTATCCTTTTTCCCCAAGAAAATATCTTCATAAAATCTGAAAGTACAATATTTGTTTCCCATTCTTAAAAATTAACGTGAGGAAAATAGAAATAACGTCCTAAAATGAAAATGCATTCACAGAAACATTTGGCCAAACCACATGCATCTACTAAACAAGAATAAATTTGATTCCCTTCTCCTCCAGAAAAATTGCTGGCACTTTCTACCAGCTGTAATTCATCTGATGCATGGCTAGCATTACCCGGATTGCTCTCTATACTGTAGCTCCATCCCTCCGCTTCCCTACCCTGCCTCTTTACACTCACATGCTTTGGAACAGAGACTATATCCTCTTCTTGGTTTGGAAAGCTTTCTCTACTTTGTGCATGCTACCAGAATCATGGAAAATAATCATCATCTGACAGTAACTCGTTTTTCTGATCCTAATTCCTCTAGTTTAAGGTTTGCCTGAAAGGAAATGCTTGAAACCAATGACCAGTTTTCACAGAGAATTAAGGGTTTTCTAAGCACATAACTGCCAGGATCTCTCCTCTTGTTTTTCTGGCTTTAATTGCTGTGGGAGACAGAATACCTTTCTGATACTAACAACATTCATTTTTTCAATTTTTTCTATGTGACAATTACAACAGTAAACTGATACAAATTCGATACACTGCATTAGCTGTTTCCCAAGGAAACCAGGAATACCCTACATGTTCTTATCAAAGGCTCCACCAAGTTCTGAAGGAGCTTTCACACTGAGGGACATGCATCTTTATGTAAACTGCCTGCAGCTGAGAGACTGGCACGCTGGTAAGAACATTATTTTTAGCTTAGCCCACCCTGCCCCACTGCAGCTTAGGTGAAGTATCTGGACTGCAGGGCTCACCACCCATCTTGTTCAGCAGTTACTCACTAAGGCTAAAAATGACTCCCCATGGAGTCAGGCTCCTGCCCTGAATCACCCCTTACTCTCTCCACCAGACCTCGAATGCTTGGCAGTTTGCTCTCCATTGAGCACAGGCAGAGTTTGGGAGGATTGGCTACTGCAAGCCAGTCTCTGTGTGCAGATGCCCCCCTGACAACTATCATATGATGAAAAAAATGCACGACGTTTTCTCAAGTCAGCGCAGCTTGAGGGCACCCAGTCACCGTTTCATGATTTTGCCCATCTCTGTTTTGCACAGAAGCACAGCACAGCAAGGACCATCCATCGGAACCGGGTGAAACAGGAGGCGGATTGAACTTTTGCAATATATTTGGGAGACAAACTCTGCAAAAAAGAAACTAACCCCAATTTTATGTACAGCAGGTATCTTCCTCAGATTTACTTCTCCTTTGAGCTGATACCTCGATCTCAAAAACTGTGGATGAGATCTACCACCTTAAGGGAACAGCTAAACCCTTTTTAACTCAGTTAGACCGTATTTCAGCCTGAACCACGGAGTCATTTCAGCTACGTTTGCAAGTTTAAATGGTGAGTGAGTTTCAATTTATCCATTCATATTAGTCATGAAAGTCACAGGCCTACAACCCTAAGCATATTTCCTGTTGTATTATTAAATTTAATATAACCTCTTTAGGTTCATGAAATGTGTTCAGTTACAGGAATATATTGGAAGTATTAAAGTGATGATAATTCAGCTTGCTGGAAGAATGCTTAAAAAATTCTAACATTCCCAGAGAATAGCATAATTAATTCATAACTTGCAATAAAATCAACGCTTTAATTACATGCATCTTTAATTAAAATATCAGAAAAAGATTATTTAAAAAGAATGGGACCAAATACAAGGCCTAGCAGTGTTTACCAGAGAAGCACAGATTTTAAAGATGGAAAAAAAACATTAGATTGTGACTTCATAGAAATATAAAAACGTTGATTAGAAGGGGCTTCTGGGGGTCATCTAGTCCAACACTCCTGACCAAAATATCATCCACACTTGATCAGGCCAGCTGGTTTTTGTCCACTGTGGTTCTCAGTGTCTCAAACAATGAGGCTTGAGCCACTTCCTACAAAAGATTATTCTCTTTCGATTTGCCTAGCTCAGAAATGCCCACTGTCATGTCGAGCTGTTTGCGCCACGGGTCCTTAGGAGGAAGCAGGATGTTTTTCTAGGAAGGTAGGATTTCCTGTGGTCTCCTCACTAGAAAGGAGCGGCAAAGCAGCACTGAAGAAAAGCATGCCAGACAGCTCTTTTTTCACCGATCGTCACTTGTGAGCTGTCCAAGAGGGAGATAGTATTTTAGCTGGTATGACAAATCCACTTCCCACTGGAGCAAAAAGCCAAACTGTCAGCGCTTGAGACTGAAGATGGACACAGCCTCGTAAAGGAAATATACGCTCATGTGTTTGCACCCATGCATCCATATCCCTTACATGTATTTCTATATTCTTATTACTTATTTTGTTGCATGAATTCTGGAACGACTTCTGGTTTTTTGCTTTACCTTACTCAAAAAAAACCCCAAAATGCAACAGTTTTACAGTTCCCTTTTAATATTCTTACTTACTTGGGATTTTCCCCTATCATTTATGTCTTTTGAAGTCTCCCTGTATTAAACTAATATGAAATGTGGCATAATTTTTCTCAGGTGCTGATGATCGTAGTGAAACACAAACTATCAGAGCACAAGCATTGTGGGCAGATCTTCCAACTATTTTTGCTCTGATTTGCAACTCAGGAACTTCTCTAACATGGATTTTTTCCACTGGTCCAGCAAGTGCAGCATATCTGCATTAGGAATTTGCATAACAACAATAAAACTGAGGCAAGCGATTCACAATAGAGATGAAGCCTGCACACTGAAGAAGCTGTTCTGATGGAGAGGATTTCACTCCGGAAAAAAACACGAGCCAACTTCCAAAATGGTTTTGATCAGTGAAGTTGGTGGAGTCAAAAATGAATGTTCCACAGTTTGGTCTTGCAACAGCTGTGCACAGCAGCCTAGGCTCTTGCTCCCTGCTGACTTGTCCCGACACTGCATTAGCAGGAATACTTGACTTGATGAAGCTTAATCTTTTGTAAACTTCTCTAAATATCTATGTTTGCACAAAAAGCATCATCCTGTGACAAAAGTGAGATGGATGTTCTTGGCGGCTTGAAGAAAGCACATAGTCGAGCAGCACAGACTGGGGGGGGAGGGAGGGCAATGAACTAGAACACATGATGAAAGAGGAATGGAGAGTGCTTCTCTGTGCTAATACAAAAAAGACCTCTTCAGGGCCTGATTCTATATTGCATTATTCACTTAAAGGCTTTCCCCCCAAGCCCCCTAAGTTGGCAGAAGTTTTGGATACACAAGTAACCCAGTATTTGAATGGAAAGGCCATTTTGATCTCCTTTCCTTTGGGACATAGGAGAACAGAGCCTCTGTTCTTACCCCGTGACTGTGGATGGCACAGACACATCTGTTTTGGTGCTTCCCGGAGGCAGCTGCTCCCTGTAGCACTGATCTCAGCTCGCTTCCAAGATTTGCTCATGCAGACCTTGGAGAAAGAGATGCACTAATGCTTGGTGGCTGCCAGAGAGCAACCACAGAAAACTCTTCCAACTGCAGCAATACTTCCCGACTCACTGTCACGTGTCTGAGTAGGATTGGGAAGCATAGGGGTATAGGCCCAGGAATGAGGTACAAAAAGTGCCCCCTGCAAATGGGCGGGCCTTCCTGAAGAGTAGCTCTTTTCTCTTCAGCTCCACAGCCTCTTAGCAAATGTTATGGAAAGAATAATTCCTAGAAAACCGAGAGGTTTAACTCCTTCTGGAGCCTCGCCTGGCTCCTCCCCAACAGGTTTCTGAAGGAGCAGAGCTAAGGTC